CCCAAGCAAAACACTTTAGCAGAGGATGGTTTCGATCCATCGACCTCTGGGTTATGGGCCCAGCACGCTTCCGCTGCGCCACTCTGCTGATGCTTAAAGGGTCATCGTCCTCACAGCTGTCTCTACTTCTTACCGGAAGCAGTGTTAAAGTGGGAACTGTATAAGTGGGGAGATATCGAGAGACAAAAATCCTGCAACTCTGCAGATCTGAGCACTTTCTGCAAGCGCTGTCTCTGTGGCGCAATCGGTTAGCGCGTTCGGCTGTTAACCGAAAGGTTGGTGGTTCAAGCCCACCCAGGGACGGAGTTTACTGTGTACAAGCTGACACGGGTGCAGTTGCTTTTTCTCTAAGAAGTTAAAAATAAGCCTGTAGTAATCAAACTGAAAAACAGTGGCTGTATGCTGATTAACTTAAGTAGAGATGCTTCTCAAAACCATGTCTAAAAGGTGGGGCAAAGACTTTTCTGTGACAATGGTTTCAATTTGAAACGTCACCACAAACTTTTTGAGAAGTGAGCGGGAACACTACCCATTGAAAATTTGGATCGGTCAAAGAAAAGATTAGAAGGACACTGCTCGTATCATTTGTCCTCGGGGACATGTCTTGAATTATTTCAAACACATATCATCCTGCATAAGCTTGTAAATTCAAACCCACTCCAGGACCGTGCATTTTCAATATGGGAGGGGCCAAGCACGCGTTAGCCAAGAAGCCAAAAGCACAAAATTCCATATTTTTCCCACAAAAAAACAACAAAAAACATGGAACCCAGAGCAATATTGGACAAACATGTTAAAAGCAGTGGAAGACAGCACGATTTGTGTTTTTTTTTCAATGAAAATGTTTTGAAATTTGACCATTCAAGCAAACATGTGAAATGATGAGACAATGCAATTTTACTTTCAGCTTAGAGTCCAGATACAAGCAATTAACTTTAAAACATGACAGCATCAATCTTATGATCAAGTGACAGGCACGAAAAGTTTAGTGTTTCAACCCCACTCTAGAATGATTCATTCCTAACATGAAATGGGCAAAGCATACACAGACCAAAAAGAAAAGAGTGAAAAAGGTAAAAAAATGTGAAATAATCTTTACCTTTCCTGCGAAAAACCCTTACATGCACACCCCAACTGCAGATTGAAGAGAAAAATAAATAAATCATTAAATATGTGAAAAGAGGACAAAAGAAGACTTCTATGCAAACAGTCTAAAATCTGTTTAATCACAAAGACATGTTGAAAGAGTGGAAAAATGCAAAATCTCTTGAAACTAGCAAACGACCACCCTCTGACTCAAAACCAAGAAAAGCTGAGATAAGAATGGAAAGAAAACAAAGAAAATGAGAAACCACAGAAGAGCAAATTTCTCTCAACAAATGGTGTGAAATTTGACTGCCAGTTAAATCTCAAAGATTACACAAAACCCAAGCAAAACACTTTAGCAGAGGATGGTTTCAATCCATCGACCTCTGGGTTACGGGCCCAGCACGCTTCTGCTGCGCCACTCTACTGATGCTTAGTGGGTCATCGTCCTCACAGCTGTCTCTACTTCTTACCGGAAGCAGTGTTAAAGTGGGAACTGTATAAGTGGGGAGATATCGAGAGACAAAAATCCTGCAACTCTGCAGATCTGAGCACTTTCTGCAAGTGCTGTCTCTGTGGCGCAATCGGTTAGCGCGTTCGGCTGTTAACCGAAAGGTTGGTGGTTCAAGCCCACCCAGGGACGTTTACTGTGTACAAGCTGACACGGGTGCAGTTGCTTTTTCTCTAAGAAGTTAAAAATAAGCCTGTAGTAATCAAACTGAAAAACAGTGGCTGTATGCTGATTAACTTAAGTAGAGATGCTTCTCAAAACCATGTCTAAAAGGTGGGGCAAAGACTTTTCTGTGACAATGGTTTCAATTTGAAACGTCACCACAAACTTTTTGAGAAGTGAGCGGGAACACTACCCATTGGAAATTTGGATCGGTCAAAGAAAAGATTAGAAGGACACTGCTCGTATCATTTGTCCTCGGGGACATGTCTTGAATTATTTCAAACACATATCATCCTGCATAAGCTTGTAAATTCAAACCCACTCCAGGACCGTGCATTTTCAATATGGGAGGGGCCAAGCACGCGTTAGCCAAGAAGCCAAAAGCACAAAATTCCATATTTTTCCCACAAAAAAACAACAAAAAACATGGAACCCAGAGCAATATTGGACAAATATGTTAAAAGCAGTGGAAGACAGCACGATTTGTGGGTTTTTTTCAATGAAAATGTTTTGAAATTTGACCATTCAAGCAAACATGTGAAATGATGAGACAATGCAATTTTACTTTCAGCTTAGAGTCCAGATACAAGCAATTAACTTTAAAACATGACAGCATCAATCTTATGATCAAGTGACAGGCACGAAAAGTTTAGTGTTTCAACCCCACTCTAGAATGATTCATTCCTAACATGAAATGGGCAAAGCATACACAGACCAAAAAGAAAAGAGTGAAAAGGGTAAAAAAAATGTGAAATAACCTTGTATGTACGTAGTGGGGAATCGTGATGCAGCCTAGAACAAAATCCAACCCCATTCAACCCCCCCCAATAACGACAGACCACTTAGTATGGATGAAACAGGCCACAGCATTTATTATCACAAACTAAATTACTGCATAACACATCCATAATTTTATTTATTAAATCTCTTCTTTTCTGTAACCAAAACGTTAGACATAAATAAGCATAAATTAACATATATACATATATAACTCCACCCATAGTGTTATACAGTGACCCAACCGTCCTTGCCAATAAACATAGAGTGGTTCCTAATCACCACTCTCTCTCACCTCCCCCCTCGTCATAAAAATCATATATTTCCAATGCCTGCCATCAGCCGCCTTTACCCACGCTCGATGGGCACGAGACCTCAGGCAACCTAAAGTTTAACCTTTGAAGCAGGGGAGGTTTGAGACCTTAAAAAACTTGTTCATCTCATTCCATATACTTAAACGTAACCTCAAACTCAATTGGCAAGGACATACCCCCGGCTAGCTGTGACGAAATATACTATAGGGTGGGCGGGAGGGAAGCTGTTTGCTGGCCCGAATCCCAAGTGGCACTGAGGTAAGACCTCCCCCACACTAACTTACACAGAACATAATCACACCCACAGACTCTTTCCCTACCAATCCCATGCATCTATCCCCACACTCCTACATGTGCCCTTGTCCGCTTAGCTGCGCTATCTCCCCAGGGCCTTGTATGTACGTAGTGGGGAATCGTGATGCAGCCTAGAACAAAATCCAACCCCATTCAACCCCCCCAATAACGACAGACCACTTAGTATGGATGAAACAGGCCACAGCATTTATTATCACAAACTAAATTACTGCATAACACATCCATAATTTTATTTATTAAATCTCTTCTTTTCTGTAACCAAAACGTTAGACATAAATAAGCATAAATTAACATATATACATATATAACTCCACCCATAGTGTTATACAGTGACCCAACCGTCCTTGCCAATAAACATAGAGTGGTTCCTAATCACCACTCTCTCTCACCTCCCCCCTCGTCATAAAAATCATATATTTCCAATGCCTGCCATCAGCCGACTTTACCCACGCTCGATGGGCACGAGACCTCAGGCAACCTAAAGTTTAACCTTTGAAGCAGGGGAGGTTTGAGACCTTAAAAAACTTGTTCATCTCATTCCATATACTTAAACGTAACCTCAAACTCAATTGGCAAGGACATACCCCCGCCACAACCCCGCTGTTTTACACCTAAAATCAGCGGGGGACACCACCACAACCAGCCATGGCCTGTTCCACCACTTCTTGCAGCGCTAGATCAGCAGAGGCCAAGTCCGACCTCCAGCAAGCGCACCCCACTCTACGAGAAAACCAGGCCACATTTGGCCAAACCCAAAAGGCGAACTGGAAGTGTTTATGTTTTATATATTCATTTTGCCAGTTATGTATTTAGTCATTTAGTTATGGCCACTACAAACCTAGAAACCCATCTAGCCTGATGACCGACGGCAGCGCACCAGGGCACTCACATTGCGGAGTGCACTGCCAACAGAAAAGGGGCGATAGGCACAGCCTAGCCCCTGAGAACCTCGGGGAAGAAACGTAATGCGTAACATGTCCAGATCGAAGAGAACCCAAGTCCTAAACCACCACCGGCCCATGTCATTCCACCCAGGGATGACAAAACCCTTGGTACCCCATGAGGCGGGGCAGCTGACCCTGTATGAGGCGGAGCCACACCCCTTTCACGTAGCCGGAGCCAGACCACCGAACCTCCGCCCCAGAAGGAGGAAGATCCAACCACTCGCCCCTGCCTCCCTTTCCAAATTACCCACGAAAAACCCCGCCCTCCCCAGTCCGGGGGGGGGGAGGGGGAGAACCGTAAACGCGGAGATAAATCCAAGCAGAGACCAGCAAGGCTAACCCAAGGAACCCACCACCCTGACTCCCACCATTCGAGCCCTCTGAGCCATCGACGCAGGCACGCCCAGCCTGGCGGTGTCCGTAGCCGCCCCAACCAAATTAAATGCCCCTTGAAAACCCCACCATCCTTATCCAGGAGTCCGAGCCGCCAAGAGGAACACCCCAACTAAATGGACGCGGGGGTGGAAAACCCATCTCCGAGAACCAAACAGGGGAGGAGGCCGAACAATCCAAGGGACGGAACAGTACTCCCAATGAAAACAGGCCAATGACGGAACCCTGCACCGCCCCCGATCGGAACGGTATATTACAGACCATCCTGGAAACCCATTACAGCATGGCAGGAGCCCCAACTATCACCCCGTGCATCCCACCAACCCCAGGAGAATGCAGAAAGTCAAACCCGCGACATCCAAGAATTGAACAGATTCTATCGATGAAACAACCAAACTCAAACCAACCTACCCTTCCCAACGACAACAGCCATCGAGCTGCGAAACCTGAAGGAAGTCCGTTCCAACGCTCCCTCAACTCCACCAAAACACCCTCCCACTTGCCGACTACCGTAACATGAACGGGAAGCCGAGCCCCGCTAATCGCAGAAATCGCCCCCAACGCCCGCAATAGACGGAACCAAACATGTAGATGAGCAGACCAATCCCGGGACCCAAAAGGAAAACGTACCCAACCGTCCCGAACACTCCAACCTTACTGGAGCGGGCCCCACACCGCCCTAGAGATCGCCCACAGACCAGCTGCAGCAGACCGTCGGACCAAGGGACCACACCTCTACTGCCTTACAAATGGACCCCGTGACACCACCACCTGAAGTAGGCTCGATAATGAACAAGACAGAGCATCGGCCACCAAATCGGCAACAACCGGACAAAAACCTTGACCAGCCGCCTCTAGACTCAAATAGCACCGAGCCAGAGTACCAAAGTACCACCGGGGTATAGGGTACTGTCACATGTGAAAAACAGCCAGCAGCACCCCACGATGGTCCCCAAGGAAAACCCCCCACCCGTTCGTGAGCCGGGTAACCCATGCCTACCATGCCACCAGAAAGGGGGGACCTCCAAGAACACCAGAGTCCGCCAGAGCCAGCGTATTGGGCAAGAGACAGCACCACCGAGAGCCCAAATGGCCCAAAACCCCAAAACCTGCTGCGGCAGGCAAAACCGTTGGAAGCCAGCGGAAAGGACACAGGGGGCCAGATTGCACAAGCCAGTGGTAAAGGAGGCCCAGCAGGAACCCCCATACAGTCCCAAGGGCAACCCCAATAGGCAAAGCCCAGCGTACCCAAGAGAGACCACGGGTAGCGCAGCCAAAACCCACAACGCCCCTCCAAACCACCGACGCCTCCTGCCTGACGCCCCAAAACCGCAGCCAGGGGCACCGACGTTCCCCTTACAGGAATTGATCCCACTATCCAGGAGACAGGAGCACACATCCCGACCCACGGAGAAGGCCTGGGCCCCGGAACTCCGAAACTCCAAACAAAACACTACCCCAAGAAAAACACTGCAGCAGCAGAGTGCGCACATGCGACACTGACGGCCCCACACATAAGCGACATCGGGAGCAACTTACATGGAGGCACTTTAGCCACCTAATCCTGACCGTCAGAAACACAGCCCGGAAACCACACCTCGACGGGCGTACCGGCAGCCTCGTCAGCAAGGCCCCAGGGCCCCGCAGCCCCACCCACGCAGACCACTGCGCCGAGCCACCAACTCAAACCCAGCCCTCGGAAGGAAACGACAACCGAGTAAATAAGGAATCGGGGGATATCAACCCCGCTCCTCCATGGGCACCACATCCCAACGGGGGGACCCGCAGAGCGGACTCCAGGGGCACCGTAAACGAGCGTGAAGTAAGCTAGGTGAGCGTGCGTGGTAAACCGGACCCGCCCCACCCGAAGGAGCTCTCACATGGACTGAGGGTCCCGCACCGAGAGCAACCAAGTCCCCATCCCAACAGATTGCAGAGAGGCACCAGGCGAGTCCTAAGCAAAACCAGAGGCTGAAGCCCATCCGGCCCCGGGCCAAGAAGGGTTGCACCGCCACGAAAGCGCAAAACGTACCTCCACCAACCCAGCTCCTCCCAGGGACGATATGCGTCCCGGAAGTGTCCTGACCGCAGAACCACGCAGCGCATTCTCGGGGAGCCCTCTCCCCGACCATGCTATCCAGAACACAGGGTGCATTCGAATATGCACCCTGGGGCGCAACCGACCACAGCATGCTCCCCATGACCCTCGTGGAGCCCCTAATGTCCCTCTTAGCCAAGGGACCCCCGTGGCAGGAGGGAACACACCTGTAATAAAGCCCCTTCCCCCATATGCTCCCTAGTAGTGCGCGCAAGCCAAGCGGGCCATATTAGCTCAGCAACACCCAGAGTCATGCGAACCTGGGAGGCACCGCCGGCGCTATCCGCTGCGCCAGACACTGGTACCTAACAAATGAGACATACTGAAAACGAAAGGGGGGAAAGCGCTGTCCTTGTACCCAGACTTTCCTCGTTCATATATATATATATACACACTTTTTTTTTTTTTTGGGGTTTGATCATCCATCACCGTGTACTTGACAGTTAAATCACGGTTGTATGTTCTGTTATCTGGCTGTCGTTTAATTCATTCCATGCGGTAATTGACACAAATTTATTTTCTGTACTGCAAATTACTTTTTTTTTTTTTTTTTTTATATACCATTGTTGTATTTTTTATTATTTTTACCGTGCTAGGAGGACCAGACTGAACAACGAAGGAACAACGTATGCACGCGAAGCGCTAAAGAGGGGGGGAAAGTACTCACCAGACGCAGAAGGACGAGGCAAAGAAACAACAGTACCAGCATCCATAAACGACAACAGCTGTGATCCAGGCGCCACCTGCTGGACGGGTCCACGAACTGCAGCAGATTCCAGAGAAGAGAGCAGTGGAGAAGAGGAGAGCCCACGCCCCAGAGGAGACGGCCGAGGTAAGTGACCAGCAGGGGGGGGGAGCAGCTAGATAGAGGAGGGGGGGGAGAACATAGAGGGGTGGACAGAAAGAGAACAAGGCTGAATAAGGGGGGGGGAGGTGCAGGCTAGAAAGAGGAGGGGGGGGGATAACAGAGAGGTAGACAGAGAGGGAATGGAGACCCAGGGGAGGGGGAAAGAATAGGAGGGGGAAAAAGGAGGGGAGAGGGCAGGCCCACTAGAGGAGAGAGAGGGGGGGAGAAGGAAGCAGAAAATGGGGAAGAGGAGGGGGGACCAGGGGGCCCAAGAAAGGGAGAGCTGGGTCCCCTGGGAGAAGAAGGGGAGACAGCACCCTGGGAGCCTTCCTCACTGGCAGAGGAGGCTCCCGATGGGCAAAGAGACCCCCCAAATCCCAAACGGCGGTACTAAGGTACCCCGTGCGGCCCGCGGGGGCCTACTCACTGCCCCAACCCCCCGCCGGCCGCGGGGGGACCTGGACTGGTGCCGGGCGGCCATCCGCCGCCCGGAGTGCTGAATCCGCCGCCCACCGCCCCCGGCCCGCAATCCAGTGCTGGCGGCCGGGGCGGATGGTGTGGTAGGGGGGGGGGGCCATGTGTGTGCCGCGCGGCAGACGCCCCAGGTGGCCGCGCGGCATTAGCAGGCCGCATCCCCGGCCTTGCAGTCAGGGACCGTGCGGCCATAGACACAGCAGGCCGCGCGGTGGTAGGAGGCCGCATCCCTGGCCTGGGAGTACCAGGCCGGGCGGCAATGTAGGCGGCTGGCCGCGCGGCAGTGGCAGGCCTCGTGGCAGAAGGCCGTGCCACGCGCGCGGCCGCAGAAAAGCCGCAAATCCAGGCCCCAGTTGGTAGGCCTGGTTGATGCCTCGGGCCCGAGCTCCGCCTCATCAACCGGGCCCGAGGAGTGGGATCAGGGGAGAGCCTGGCAGGCGGGTGGGAACGCCTGCCAGTGCTGGTGCGGCCCCCAGGGGCAGGGACCGCATGGGAGGCAGCAGGGGAGACCACAGGGGGTGCTCCAGGGGGAGGTAGGCCGCGGGGGGGGGCCCACACCGGTAGCCATACCTCATTAATGCTTGCCAATTGTTCCCACAGGAGCCGGCCACCATCCACGCTGCAGCAGCCCTGAGGGAAGCCCGAAAGCCTCAACCATCAAGCTGTGTAAATCTGCAGGCCCAGGCAAACAGGAGCAGGAGGACAGGAAGCTGTTTGCTGGCCCGAATCCCAAGTGGCACTGAGGTAAGACCTCCCCCACACTAACTTACACAGAACATAATCACACCCACAGACTCTTTCCCTACCAATCCCATGCATCTATCCCCACACTCCTACATGTGCCCTTGTCCGCTTAGCTGCGCTATCTCCCCAGGGCCTAAGTGAGCGCTGCAAATAATCCACTAAATATCATGGCTGATCGATCTCGCTCAGCCACGATATTTCTATAATGCCCCCAGCCTGCTGCCTCTAAAATTAGGAACATCCAGCTACCTAGTGATACCTGGGG